AGACAAGAGAAGACAAGAGAAGACAAGAGAAGACAAGAGAAGACAAGAGAAGAGAAGAGGAGAAGCATTTATCTATATTCAAGTAGTTCAATTATTCAATTAAGTATATAAATAAAGTATTCAATTAGCAGTTCAATCCAACATGGTTCCGCTATAAACTTTAGAAAAGGATACCAAAAATTTCTAGTTTTCCTACTGGCAAAATATATGCTTGCATTTCATAAGACATATAAGACAAAAATATATAAATTCAATATATTTATAATAGAGAAACGGCTAAAGGATTCCATAGTAACGTAAGGCCGTTTTGACGAAATGTAGAACTCTAGACTAACAGTAGAACAGATTTTTCTGTTAATGAATATGAATCTTGAAAAGACCAAAGATTATTCTTCAAGTATTAAAGTCCAAAACATCTACTTCTGTAAGTATCGGTTTGATATTCAAAAAACACTTCTTTTGTTAATACTAAAATACAGTTTATGAAGTTTTCCTTCGAGTTTAAAACAAATTCAATGCTAAGAGCAATTTAAAGGTTAGTTTAGCGTGGATTTTAAGTTCCTTGTATTTGGAGAAAACTAATTATTCTGTATTTATACAAAACGATGTTGTAATGGTTGCAAAATATAGAACCCTGGTTTTGGCTTAGCTTTAAAAGACTCTCGATATTACTTGCCGCTACGACTCGAGCTTCAAATCACTATGCAAAGTGAAGAAAAGTATTCTGTATTTCTACGATAAGCGATGTATTGGCCACAATAGGTAAAACATGGTGGTTTAGCCTAGTTTTGGCTTCTAAAAGACTTGATATAATTTACCTCTACGACTCGAGCTGCAAATCACTATACAAAGTAAAGAAAAGTATTCTGTATTTCTACAAATAGATGCTGGTTTAGCTTGGTTTTAAAACTCTCGTTATAATTTAGAACCGCGAAGACTCGAGCTTTTATTCAGAATTTACATAAAAACTCGTAAACACATAATTTTTGTAGTTTTGGTAAAAATACTAGAAGAAAAAGGAGAATTGGTTGTGGAATTCCGTGATTAAATAATATAAAATAAATAAATAATAATGATAATAACGATGAATGCTTCATTGATTGAGACAGCGTCTAACATCAAAACAAGTATCGATTCGTTCGGAGGAACAGCCACGCTAATTCCTGAAGCGTTTGTCTATCTCTATCATAGTCAAATACTGGTTTATGATTGTATAAACAAATGTTATTCGTACGTTTTTGCTTCGGGGTGCTACAGCACGTCGCTGTGAACGACAATCCGCTTGGAACTCCTTGGCTGTTAACATCCACTTTCAGCAGATTGCAGTCACTCAGTTGATATTTCTGTCTGAAGGCTGAGCGCAGAAAGTAGACCTTTCCGCTAACCAAGGCTTGGTTATAGCACAAATATACTAGGGACAGAAATAGTACCTGAAAAAAAAATCAAATTAGCTTAAGATCTCCCACAAACTTCAGTGGAATTTTAGTGGAGCTTAGTACTAGGTACTCGGACATTATGATAAACGTGTAGAGCTAACTTGGCAGAGCAGACGCTATTGGGTGTGGCAAACTATATACTTCAAGAACGTTTCAAATATCTCGGCTTAGGTTTCCCTGATTTTAACAACCGTCTGGATATTCACACTCTACAAACTGTTTCAATTCTCTTCGAGGTAGTACTATCTTAACCTCAACCATCATAGAAACCCTTCCAGTGCTAAGCTTTGACTTTGGTGTATGTAAAGAATTGCGCTTCCAGTAGAGAATTGAAATAGAATAGCTAAACGAGTCTACGTACAGTTCTACGGTTTTGGGGCGGAAAAAAATAACTCTAAGTTCTCGTTGGACAGTGGCGAAGTCAGAGAGTCCCACAATTAGTGACTTATAATACTGCAATGCTGCAAAATAAAAGTTGGGCTTTTGTAAAAGAAGGTATTGAGAAACAAAATAGCTTTCACTTCCGAGTCGTGAAGAGCCCCTTCAAGTTAGTAGATGAGTGTGCTATACTACCGACTGTATATACTTTATGAAGAGTTCAAAAATTACTTCACTCAAATCTCTAAAACCTATGTAAAACCCACAGATAATTTTTGCTGCTTTGGATTTAGATTAACCGCGAAAACTATTTCTATGGAGCATGGAGTAAGTTGATCTTCCTCAAATGAAATATGCCACAATCGACTACAAATAGTTCTTGAAGCGATCAAAAACTATACTCTTTATAGCCTATGTAGTATTCAATAATTTTAGCCGTTTTTTGATTACTTTAAAGATACTTTTATAAAGCTTTAAGTAAACTTATCTTCCTCAAATGAGGTAAGTGTGTATATTCTAAATCCTACTTACGATTGATGCAGTATTCATCTTTGTTTCTGTTCTTCGCTAACGTTTTCTTGCTCGCTTGCTCGACTTGTGCCTTTTTCTTAACATTTTCAAACTCCAAGAAACTTTCTTAAATATTTTTTTGGCCAATTCGGTCGGAAACCCGTATAGGAAATTGTTGCCGGCTCACAAGATATTGTGGTTTTGTTCGCCCACATACTATTATTGAGAAGAGATTGAAACTTCAATGGCATTCGGAATCCTTACAGGATGCAAGGAGCTTGCATTTCTTCCGTTAAGTACTGTTTTGCCACACACGTTAAACAGCGTGTTTTCATTTATGAATATAGAAACACTTTTCTAGATGGTTGCCCAACAGTGCTCGTTGCCCAACAGTGTAATTTTCAGCGTTCCGAAGGGGCCAAGTGCCAGTGCTTTTGAATTTCACCTCAGCGAGGCGCAGGAAACATCAGTAAAACAGTTGAGCGCAACTTATATTTTTGAAATATTTCTAAGGATTTTCTTAAGGGTCTCCGTTTTTTTTCCTTCGTGTCGTGAGTGTATGTGGGAACAGAGCCGGCGCGGAAGAGGAAAAGGTCCCACGAGGAGTTTTTTTTCTCCAAAGGCTATGTAACGGTTCCAAGACGCGCTACCCTGTTGGGGATTTGCTTGGCATATTCATAAACTGGTAGGTTTGAAGGCTGGGTGGGT